ACCTTGGATAATATGGATGTTCAAAATCAAAATGGTCTGGTACCTGTGATGTTCTGCACTCCTCCTCTATTTGTTGATCCTTGTACTTGGTGATTCACCATGTGAAGACCCCACATCTAGCAATGTAAGCAAGCATGAAGTTATCTATTTTAGGAGGAAAAAGAATAGATCAGGGTGGTTTATATTATGGTGAAGTTAAATACAGTGAATTTCCAAAGAGGCTTGGGGGTTGATAGGCAAAATGCCACATACAGGTGCAAACAATAACTAACAGTCTTATGGAATGCTGGCTTTCATGTCTAGAAGGCTGGAGTATAAAGGTGCCAAAGTTATGCTGCAGGTATACAAAACGCTAGTTAGACACCTCTTAGGGTTCTAAGAGCAGATCTAGGCACCATGCTTCAGGAAGGACATATTGGCCTTGGAGCGAGTACAGATAAATTAACAAGAATTATACCTGTGGACTTCAGGGATTAAGATACCAGGAGAGATTATTCAGATTAGGTCTGTTTTCTCTAGAATTTAGAAGATTAAGGAATCTGAAGTCTTCAAGATATTAACAGAAAAAGACAGGGTAGATAAAGGTAAACAATTTCCACTGTTTGGAGATTCAAGAACAAGGTGCCATTGTCTAAAAATTAGAGCTGGACCATTTAGGAGAGATGGAGTTATACAGCATGGGAACAGACCCTTCAGTACAACTCGTTCGTGCCAACCAGATATCCCAAACTACCTAGTCCAATTTGCCAGCATTAGGCCCATATCCCTTTTAAACTGTTCCTTTTCATATATCCATCCAGATGTCTTTTTTAAATGTTGTAATCTTACTCATCTCCTGTAGCAGCTCCGTACCATACACGCGCCACCCTCTGATCCCTTTTAAATCTTTCCCCTCTCACCCTAAATCCTGTAGTTCTGGTCTCCCCCACCTTAGGAAAAAGACCTTGGCTATTCTCCCTATCCATGTCACACATATATTTTTGTAAACCTCAATAGGGTTACCCGTCAGCCTCTGATGCTCTACGTTGGGAAGCATTTCTATACTCAAGGTGGTAAGATTTGGAACTCTTTTATATAAATGGCAGTTGATGCTAGATCAGTTGTTAATTTTAAATCTGAGATAAATACGTATTTGTGGAGCAAAAGTATTAAGGAATATAGGCCAAAAGCAGGTGTATGGGTTTAGGCCACAGATCAGCCGTGATCTCATTAAATGGCAGAACTGGCTTGAGAGACCAAATGGCCTATTCCTGTTTCTATGTTCCTCTAATTTCTAAAGTAACTGCACTTTCAATCTTGAGTTGGTGCTTGCTCAAGTTAGTTCAAATAATGCATCATCTTGTGGAAAATTGCTCTCTTTATGATGTGGCATTGGGGAATGGAGTATGAGAAGAAGGAAGTGGATTACAGTTAGGGCAGCACTGCAGCTCAGTGCTTAGCACTGCTGTCTCAGTGTTAGGGATCCAGGTTTGATTCTGCCCTCGGATGACTGTGTGGAGTTTGCACATTCTCCCCATGGCTGTGTGGGTTTCCCCGGGCGCTCTGGTTTCCTTCCACAGTCCAAAGATGTACAAGTTAGATGGATTGACCATGTTAATTTGGCCATAGTGTCCAGGGATGTGCAGGCTAGGTGGATTAGCTGAGGAAAATGCAGGATTACAGGGACAGGGCAGGGGCTGGGTTTGGGTGGGATGCTGTTCGAGGTTTGATGTGGTCTAGTTGAGCCAAATGGCCTGCTTCCACACTTAGGTTTCTATGATTCTAAAATGTAGTCCAGTAATAGTAGGAGAGTAAAGAAGGGATTGGGAAGAAGGGGAGTGTTAAGAGTTGTAGTTTTGTAATTTGGTTAGGTGTGGGTAGATATTAGTAAAGGTGAATGATACAACACTGAATACATAGATCATCAATAGGAGCAGGAATGGACCATACACTAATCTGTTACCTCAACTCTGCTTTTCCCTCTTAACTCCATCTCTTGATTCCCTTACTGAAGTTGACAAATTGTGCTGAGACCAACAAACCTTTTTTTTTTGATGTTTCAGCCATGACTTGGGAATTAAGCTTACTGTGACATCTTTCCAGTAGTATTCTGGTCTGGAGAGTTTTCTCGTCCACTCCTACCTACAGTGAAGAGGATTTGCTGTCCTGGACCAAGATCTCTAAGCAGCGTTAGAGAATTTAAGGGCCTTTGATCCGCAGGTCTTGCAAAAATTTCTATCCCTTCAAACATTCTGTTTTTTGCAGCTGTCTCTAGGAAGTGTAGGCTGTCTTAAATATCATCAAAGATCTCCAATTTCCTACATTTGCCCCTAAAAGGTTGTGAATCCAGTAAGCGGACAACAAACTTCAGCTATGATGATGAGCTGCCAGTACCGATTCTACATTCTCCATGTCAGCCTGAAAAGGTGCGGGCTGGGACTGTGCACACATCAAATTTCTGGGCAAATGCTCATTGGACTGCTACGTTTGGAAAGTAAATGAAAGGTTTTCTAAAAGGTTTGCAAGTAATGAAATCTGAGGAAAAAAAATGTAAGAAACACACTGTTTGAAGAAAAAGGTGGGTGTTTTGTTTCTAGGTTTTCACCAGATCTTATTTTAAGTGGAGTATCCAATGCTCTATTCTCCCTGGCAGATAAACCCTTTCAAAAATACCATATTCAACCTTATAAGGATGGGACTTAATAGCAATACATTCTGTTGAGTAAATAGCAATAAAACAGCCCGCTGCATTTTTGCTTCAAACACACCTTCCAGAAGCTTTGCCCTTACTGTGCATGAGAGTTCCATTGCGCTATAGACACGCACCAAACAAAAATGATTACCTACTTAATCCCATGATTAAAGTGCTTCTCTGAGTGAAGTCTTTAATGAAAATCTATTGCTTTAGAACTGACCTCATTCGTGACAAAGATAAAATGCATCTCCCATGACAGAACCCTATTCAATATCACATTTTTAATCTTTGCATACTTATGCTGGTATTGACATTAATTGCATTGCAGATTCATACCATAATCTCACAAATACAGAAATAATTACATTCCTGATTTGACTGAAGGTGTTCATGCAATGAACTGGTAAAACTTACAGACAACAACTCAGTTTCGACTCTTGATGGAGTTAGCTGATTCAAAGGGCAAATAATAGTCATGCAACAACAAATTTCAGAGCTTCTGCATTGGTCAAGGAAGGAAAAATGCCAGTCTGCACTCCAGTCACTGATCTGTATCCGTGATCGCTGTTGGAAGTCAATAGCCCAGGTATTCTGATGGCCAGAGAGTCATTGAAGCAGAGCAGACAGCTTACGCACTGTTGACCAGGCATGGCTGCCCCCACTGGCCTGAACTACCCACCCTACCAACTGGGTCTAGACCTGAAACAACAATCCTGCCCCCCCCCACCCCCTCAATTCTGTCACATCGGACCTGATAGCCTCCTCCCCACTAACTCATCTCACTTCTTGACAATTGCCCTGTCTTTCTCCACTCACACCATTCGTATGATCTTTTGATCTCTCTGCTGTAAATTCTGTGCCTATGTGCCCCTCCGCACTTCACCTGATGAAGGGGCAGTGGTCCGAAAACTTGTGATTTCAAATAAACCTGTTGGACTATAGCCTGGTGTCATGTGACTTTAGAGATGTTGTTACACACCCCTGGAATAGATGGGTAAATCCCAATGGGGAGTGCTTTATCTGTGCATATGTATGATCATGTTGGCTGTCGCCTATCTGATACGTCTGCATAGATACCAAATTATTTCTAGCTCTCCAACTGTTCGTTTGGAATCCTTTATCAACTTGTTGTAGGTTGTTTCTAGCTACTAAAACTTTTGATTATAAAAGCTTCAACTTCTCATGGAATTTATAGTCTGTCCCATAGACCTTGTTCTTGTCAAACTGCTGCTTCGTTCGCTGCCCTACCTTGTTCTACATGGCTGCTACAAGATCTCCTCCTATGATCAGAATTGCTTTTATAAGTTTATAATCCTTTTCTAGGATCATGTTCACTTACAGGTCCATTTTTAGTATTCATTCTATATTTTCTGGCCTCCGACATTCTTTTCTCATTTTGCCAATCCACTGATCTTGCCTCATGTCCCTTGTCTTTCATAACAAGAATTCATGGAGTATATTCGGGACAGTTTCCTGGAATGATATATTGTGGATCCAACTAGAGGTCAGGTTACTTTGGATCTGGTAATGTGTAATGAAACAGGTTTAATAAATAACCTCATACAAACAAATCGTGTAGAGAACAGCGACCATCATATAGTATAATTTAGCATTCTGTTTGAGAAGGAGAAATTTGGGGTCAGAAACAACTGTACTAAACTTAAACTTTTCACCTCTGGAATCAATCTAGTGAATCTCTTCCAATGCATCTACATCCTTCCAAGTAGGGGTCTAAAACTACGCCATACTCCAAGTGGAGTCTCATCAGTGCCTTGTACATTTGCAGCAACATTTCCCTACTTATATACTCTCTTCCTTTAGCAATAATTGCTAAAATTCCATTTGCCTTTATTACCTGCTATACCTGCATACTAGTTTTCTGTGATTCATGCAAGAGGACAACTCAGATCTGCACCAAAACGCTCAAGTTTGTCTCAATTTAGACAATAAATTGCCTTTCAATTCCTCTAACTAAAATGGATAACGTCACACTATCCATGCTAAACTTAATCTGCCAAATTATGGCCCATTCACCTGACCTATCCATATCCATTATTAAATTTCTTATTTCTTCATTGCAGTGTGCTTTCCCACCTAATTAGTGTCTTCTGCAAATTTGGCTATGGTATTCAGATACATGGTCTTTAAATTTGTTCTATTATTAAATTTCACTACCTGTGGATAATTCCCTGGTGCAATATGACATTTACACATTCTGTGCCACAGTAATTAGTGCTGGGATCACAATTATTTACAATATATGTTAATGGATTGGATGATGGAAGTGCAAAGTCTGCAGATAACACAAAAATGGCAGATAGTGACGATGACAGAGTCTTCAGAGGGATATAGGTAAGTGAGGTTATTAGAGCACTTTGGCAAGAAGAATAGAGGATCTGAATATTGTTTTAAATGGGCAAAGACTGCAGAAAGCTGCATTACACAGGGATTTGGGGAGTCTTGGTCATGAATCACAAAAGCAAGCATCCTAATTCAGTGGGAAATAGTGAAGACAAATGGACTATTAGCCTTACATTCAAAGGGAATGAAGCATAAGAATGTGGAAGCTTTGCTAAAATAATGCAAGGTGCTGGCCTGACCACACCTGGAATACTGTGAACAGTTTTGGTCCCTTTACCTAAAAAACCTTATACTGGCATTAGAGACAGTCCAGTGAAGGTTCAATAAGTTGATCCCTGATATGCAGAGATTATCTTCTGAGGAGTGGTTGATTGGGTTGGGTACTCACAAGAGTTTAGAAGGCAGAGAGGAGATGTTATTGAAACATGTAAGATTACTAGGGGGCTTGACAGAGTAGATGCAGTGATTGTCCCCTCCTTGTGGGAGAGTCCAAGACCAGAGGACATAATCTCAGAGTGAGGGGTCACCCATTTAAGACTCCGATGAAGAGAAATTTTTTTGAGGGTGGTGAACCTGTGGAATTCTTTACACCAGAGGGCAGACTATTAGATGAGCCATTATTTAATGGAAGGGCGGAACAGACTTGACTTGGGCCAAATGGTTTCTTCTTTTCATATAACTTATGGTTTTATGGTCTAATAAGCCAATGGTTTATTTCCACTGGCTCTAAATGCTGTCACTACAGTGATAACATGCATCAGACACTTGCAATATATGTATTACTTTGTGTTAATTTTTGATCGCTCTTCTCTATGGCAAATAGCCTTAGTATGTCCTCTCTCTATCACTACGTCTATATTCGGTCAGCTCCTAATCCTCCTAATTGTTCAGCGTTTGTACATGCAAAATGGATAGTACCTCAGCAGTTTCTATGTGATGTTGAGATTCTGTAAATGTGTAACCTTAAGGAATGTACCCTAACAGTTTAATTCCCATGCTTTTAAAACCACTGCATTTTCAACACTACCTATTGCTTTATCTGGATCTTTCTAATCTTTCTGCCCTTGTCTGTTTCGAACATACTTTGGAATAAAATTTATTTCTGATGGCCTTATATAATCCTAAAGGTTTGCTGAATTTTCTCTGAAACTTCAGCCTTAAAGAATGCTTTTCTCCCTGCATGCATGGCATTCAAGTACACACAAATGGTGGAGGTTATTGTCATACTTTCCCATGTTAGGATCACTTATTACTGAGGAATATTTGGATTTCTCCCAAAAACCAATTGATAGGGTAACCTTCATTCATTCTAAGTGTGTTCTTTACATAGACTGCCCATGGCAGGGCAAATATTAATTTACAACTTGTTTGGTCTGCTTTGATTTTATGAAACCTCTAATCTATTACTGCATAGTTTGTTTCACACCCTCCATAACTGAAGGACCTGTCAGCTGCCCTGTTCAACACCACAATACTTATATTTTCAACACATGTTCCTAAGTTCAACATTGATAAGTGCTCCCCAGCTCCATTGTCAATTAGAAATATATCTGGTGCCCCCAGTCTGGTCTATATTAACTTCCCCATGACTTTTCCACTATTACTGTATTTTCTTTACCATGTATTGTAGTAGGCTGATTAAATATAGATGTGATGTCTGTGAAATTCAAGCTGAATTTTTTTTTACCGTATCCTAGACCTTCAAGATCGTTGCTACAATGTAGTTCAGGTCTCTTGCTAATTGGAGATTCGTGATGGGTTATGAGCATTTACATTTTTACATTTATTGATGATCTCCTCTATAAGTTTACTGTATTCTTTATTTCTAACTCCTACCACCTTTTAGTCTCTCCAGTAGTAAGAAAGTTCTTCCTGATATTCCCTTGCATCTCTTGCTCAAAATTTTAGATCTGTGTCCCTTGATTCCGGTACTGTCCCACTAATGGGAAGAAATTTTCTTTGTCTATCTTATCTGAACCTATCATAATGTCTATCAAATCTCCTCTCAATCTCTTTCACTCCAATTCTTGTAACTAACCCCACCTCTAAGCCACACCATCCCTGGAATTATTTTTGGCAAATCTCCTCTGTGCATTCTCGAAGATCTTCACATCTTTTCTGAACTGTGGAGTAGAACGCAATGCTGTAGTTGGGGTATACCAAAGCTTGTCCCTCCTTTGCCTCCACGTGTGAGTTCCACAGACTGGCTATACTTCTGAATCACTTTATTTGTACTTGCACTTTAATAAAGGGAGTTAAAAATAGCTTGCTAGGGAATTTGCCAAACCAGAAACCAATACATCCTGCAGCAGCTGAAATGCCACCTATTCGCATTGTAACCTACCCGTTTGTAACTATTGTTTGTCATGTCAATCTGAAAGTTACAATTTTATTTTTTCATTTTAAATTGTTTGTGCTTTTAGGAAATGGCAATCCGAGCACTGAAGCAGACTGGCAGCAGAAACATAGAAGCTGCTCTAGACTTCATAAGTAAGATGGGCTATCTGGACCCTAGGACTGAACGGATCGTAAGAGTTATTAAGCAAACATCACCAGGTAAACTCACAGCATCAATTCGGATAAATAAATTTAGTGCTATTTGTTTTAACAAAAAACCTGAATTCAACTTCCTACATTAAGAGTTGCAGGAATACATGAAGCATGATTTTCTATTTCTTGTTCACTAGCTTTGGGTGAATCTAGATCAAGCAGAGGTGTGAGAAATTTTGGAAACTATGTTGCTGGTGGTTAATTGTTTGGGATTTTCCACCAGAAGAGAAGTTGTTCTACCAATGAGCTGGCAACAACTCTGACAAACCACTGTCATAACTTTGAAACCTCTCTGTGTTCTCCCTCCCTATAAACTCCATCTCCTCCTTCCTTTTCTGTGATACCTTTTAGTTCAAGCACTGGAGATGCAACACCTATGTGGATTTCTACCTCTTGCTTTCTGATCATTCAAGATTCCAAATTTGTTTTTATTCTGAATAGTAGTACAAAGGAGAAGTAACTGGCCATTTTGGTAATTGAATCAACACTTTTATACTGATGGTGTGACGGGCTTGGGCTTGATTCTTGGCGTTTTCTTCCCATTACCGTTGTGACATTACAGATTGTCATTGCCATTGAAGAGAGCTTGTGGATGCCCAGTTTTGAGTTACTAAATCTGTTCAAAGTTTGTCCAATATCGTGCAGAGAGAGTGAGAGAACAAGGTTTTGAGAGCATGAGTGAGGCTGTGAGAGAACGAGTGTGTGGGCTTGTAAAGAAGTATGAATCTGTGAGGAAGTGTATGTCTGTGTATACATGTACCCATGCTGCCAACTCTCCTCTTTCTGAACAGCAAAAAGGGCTTTTGCTTGGGGGAAAGAAAATTTTATTAAGTAGACTGGGAGCAACTACTTCTGGGTAAATCTACAACTGAACAGCAGGGTAGATTCAAAATGGAATTGGTGAGAGTGCATGCCCAAAGTATTCCGTTTAGGAAGAAATGCAGGAGCAACTAACCCAGAGGTCCCTGAATATCTAAAAATAATCTGGACTAGATAAGAAAGAAAAGAGAGACTTTCCACAGGTAGAAAGGGAGCAAATCAATGGAGGCTTTCTGGTGTACAGAAAGTGTAGGGGGATCTTAAGAAAGAAATTAGGAGAGCAAAGAGGGCGCATGAAAAACCACAGGCAGAAAAGCTGAGAGAGAAGTCCAAGATATTCTAGAAATATATCAAAGAGAAGAGGATAACCAGGAAAAGAATAGGGTCTATTGGGGATCAAGAGGGCAATCTGTGTGTGGAGCCAGAGGACATTGGTATAGTGTTAAACGAGTACTTCACACCTGAACTCATTTTGAAGAAGGAGGATGTAGGTATATTATTCAGGAAGAGGGGCTGTGAGGTTCTAAGCAGTTTGACTTGGGTGTGAGGGGGTATTGGAGCTTTAAGCAGGTTTAAAACCATATGTCCAAATGAGTTGTATCACAGGCTGTGACATGAGATGAAGGAAATTGTAGACGCTCTAACCCAAATTTGTAATGCCTCTCTGGCCTCGGGGAGATGCCAGAGGACTAGAAGGCAGCTTATGTAGTTCCACTTTTCAAGGAGAGTAGTGGATGTAAACCAGGGAAATACAGACCAATGTGTCTTGCCTCAGTGGAAGGCAAGTTATTGGTGAATATTCTGAAGGAGAGAAATAATCTTCACTTGAAGGAGGCAAGACTTGATCATGGATAGTCAGCATGGCTTTGTCATGGGGAGGTTGTGCCTAACAAATTTGATTCAATTTTTTGATGGAATGACCAGGTATGGGTAGATGAGTTTATATGGATTTCAGCAAAGCCTTTGACAAGGTCCCACATGGGAGATTGATAAAGAAGGTAAAATCTTAATAGCTTGGATCCAGACTTGGCTTAATGGTAGGAGACAGAAGGAGTTTGTGGAAGCTGTTTATGTGACTGGAAGCCAGTGTCCAATGGCATACCAGAGGGATCAGTGCTAGATCTATTATTTTTCCTTATATAAACAATATGGAAGAAAATGTTGGGGCATGTTGATAACTAAGTTTGTGGGATGACACTAAGATTTATCGGGTGGTCAACAATGATGAAGAAAGTGTTTGGTTAATGGAGGATATTGGTGGATTGGTCTGATGGGCAGATTAGTGGCAGATGGAAATTAACTTTGATAAGTGTGAGGTGATGCACTTTGGAAGAAGTAACAAGACAAGTTAGTACTCAGTGAATGGCAGGACACTAGGAACCTTAGACAAACAGAGAGATCTTGGAGTGCTTCACCACAGACCCCTGAAGGGGGTCACGAATAAGGTTTCAAGGTCGCAGGACTCATGAATAAGGTTTCAAGTTCGCAGGATGTACTGGCAGGCAGGAAGGTGGTTTGAAGTGTGTCTACTTCAATGCCAGGAGCATCCAGAATAAGGTGAGTGAACTTGCAGCATGGGTTGGTACCTGGGACTTCGATGTTGTGGCCATTTCGGAGACATGGATAGCGCAGGGACAGGAATGGTTGTTGCACGGTCCAGGGTTTAGATGTTTCAGTAAGATCAGGGAAGGTGGTAAAAGAGGGGGAGGTGTGGCATTGTTAGTCAAGGACAGTATTACGGTGGCAGAAAGGACGTTTGATGAGGACTCGTCTACTGAGGTAGTATGGGCTGAGGTTAGAAACAGGAAAGGAGAGGCCACCCTGTTGGGAGTTTTCTATAGGCCTCCGAAAAGTTCCAGAGATGTAGAGGAAAAGATTGCAAAGATGATTCTGGATAGGAGCGAAAGTAACAGGGTAGTTGTTATGGGGGACTTTAACTTTCCAAATATTGACTGGAAACGCTATAGTTCGAGTACTTTAGATGGGTCAGTTTTTGTCCAATGTGTGCAGGAGGGTTTCCTGACACAGTATGTAGATAGGCCAACAAGAGGCGAGGCCACATTGGATTTGGTACTGGGTAATGAACCAGGCCAGGTGTTAGATTTGGAGGTAGGTGAGCACTTTGGTGATAGTGACCACAGTTCAGTTACGTTTACTTTAGCGATGGAAAGGGATAGGTATATACCGCAGGGCAAGAGTTATAGCTGGGGGAAAGGCAATTATGAGGCGATTAGGCAAGATTTAGGATGCATAGGATGGAGAAGGAAACTGCAGGGGCTGGGCGCAATTGAAATGTGGAGCTTGTTCAAGGACCAGCTACTGCGTGCCCTTAAGAAGTATGTACCTGTCAGGCAGGGAGGAAGTGGTCGAGCGAGGGAACCGTGGTTTACTAAAGAAGTTGAATCTCTTGTCAAGAGGAAGAAGGAGGCTTATGTAGAGATGAGGCGTGAAGGCTCAGTTAGAGCGCTTGAGAGTTACAAGTTAGCCAGGAAGGACCTAAAGAGAGAGCTAAGAAGAGCCAGGAGGGGACATGAGAAGTCTTTAGCAGGTAGGATCAAGGAAAACCCTAAAGCTTTCTATAGGTGTGTCAGGAATAAAAGAATGACTAGAGTAAGATTAGGGCCAGTCAAGGACAGTAGTGGGAAGTTGTGCGTGGAGTCTGAAGAGATAGGAGAGGCGCTAAATGCATATTTTTCATCAGTATTCACACAGGAAAAATACAATGTTGTCGAGGAGAATACTGAGATACAGGCTATTAGACTAGATGGGATTGAGGTTCATGAGGAGGAGGTGTTAGCAATTCTGGAAGGTGTGAAAATAGATAAGTCCCCTGGGCCGGATGGGATTTATCCTAGGATTCTCTGGGAAGCTAGAGAGGAGATTGCAGAGCCTTTGGCTTTGATCTTTGTCGTCATTGTCTACAGGAATAGTGCCAGAAGACTGGAGACTAGCAAATGTTGTCCCCTTGTTCAAGAAGGGGAGTAGAGACAACCCTGGTAATTATAGACCAGTGAGCCTTACTTCGGTTGTGGGTAAAGTGTTGGAAAGGATTATAAGAGATATAGGATTTATAATCATCTAGAAAGGAATAATTTGATTAGGGATAGTCAACACGGTTTTGTGAAGGGTAGGTCGTGCCTCACAAACCTTATTGAGTTCTTTGAGAAGGTGACCAAACAGGTGGATGAGGGTAAAGCGGTTGATGTGGTGTATTTGGATTTCAGTAAAGCGTTTGATCAGGTTCCCCACGGTAGGCTATTGCAGAAAATACGGAGGCATGGGATTGAGGGTGATTTAGCGGTTTGGATCAGAAATTGGCTAGCTGTAAGAAGGCAGAGGGTGGTGGTTGATGGGAAATGTTCATCCTGGAGTGCAGTTACTAGTGGTGTACCTCAAGGATCTGTTTTGGGGCCACTGCTGTTTGTCATTTTTATAAATGACCGGGATGAGGGCGTAGAAGGATGGGTTAGTAAATTTGCGGATGACAACAAAGTCGGTGGAGTTGTGGATAGTGCGGAAGGATGTTGCAGGTTACAGAGAGACATAGATGAGCTGCAGAGCTGGGCTGAGAGGTGGCAAATGGAGTTTAATGCGGAAAAGTGTGAGGTGATTCACTTTGGAAGGAGTAACAGGAATACAGAGTACTGGACTAATGGTAAGATTCTTGGTAGTGTGGATGAGCAGAGAGATCTCGGTGTCCATGTGCATAGATCCCTGAAAGTTGCCACCCAGGTTGATAGGGTTGTTAAGAAGGCGTACGGTGTGTTAGGTTTTATTGGTAGAGGGATTGAATTTCGGAGCCATGAGGTCACGTTGCAGCTGTACAAAACTCTGGTGCGGCCGCACTTGGAGTATTGCGTACAGTTCTGGTCACCGCATTATAGGAAGGATGTGGAAGCATTGTAAAGGGTGCGGCGGAGATTTACCAGGATGTTGCCTGGTATGGAGGGAAGGTCTAATGAGGAAAGGCTGAGGGACTTGAGGCTGTTTTCGTTAGAGAGAAGAAGGTTAAGAGGTGACTTAATAGAGACATACAAGATGATCAGAGGATTAGATAGGGTGGACAGTGGGAGCCTTTTTCCTCGGATGGTGGTAGCTAGCACGAGGGGACATAGCTTTAAATTGAGGGGTGATAGATACAGGACAGATGTCAGAGATAGGTTCTTTACTCAGAGAGTAGTAAGGGC